AGGTACAATCATGTGTAGATAGAGTACTAGAGGTACAATCATGTGTAAATAGAGTACTAGAGTGGACTGAGGACACAGAAGGTGCCAACAAGATGTTTCACAACCAAGGTTGGTTTAATCTCCTGTCGCTGTGGAATACAAAGCAAAAATGTTGATCTTTCACCCAGAAGGTGAAAAACATCCTGATTGTTTCAGAAACATTCCACAACATATTTTGTGGAAGAGAGTCCAAACACTGATTTGTTTCTATGCTCTGGTCTCTTCTCCAGACCTGGACAAAACAAAAAGTGCTGAACATTCCCAGATGAACTCCGTGACACTCAGGTGAAAACTATGGGCCTCCGGGTTTAGATGAGTTTGTCCCAGCTCATGAGATGAACTCATCTGCTCTCATCAGACTCAACTGTGCACCTGTGGGGATTCAGACCTGAAACCCAGCAGAGCCGCAGACCCAAACATGAGGCTTCAACAGGAAACGCTTTCTTTCGTTCACAGGATGAGCTGCGTTCATGACGTCTGGACTTCAGCTTTATTATTCTCCGTCTTTAGATGACATTTCTCATATTTACGTTTCATGTGTTCAAGGGAATTATTACACGAAAACAAAATAGTGGAATATAAACATCTGTAACTTTAAAACCGACTTACTGACTTTTATTGTCTTTCATTCTGTTTCCTACCTGTTCTGTTCTGTTCGTTGTTTCTAGCTGGTCGATCTCTGGTTCCGGACCAGGGTTCTCCCAAACACTCAGAATATTTCTTCAGCAGCAGCAGTCTGCATCTCAAGACAAGAACTGAAGACACTGACTGGAACAACTACAAGATTCTGCTCGCAGACCCGAACACAGCAGCTCCAAGTTCAACAAACATGCTAGCTTCGGATGTCACGTGACCCGTTTCTTCTTCTTCTTCTTCTTCTTCTATTGATTTTTATTGGCGGTTGGCGAACTTATTTTAAGCGCATTACCGCCACCAACTGGACTGGAGTGTGGATTTGGCTGATAGGAGAAGAAAAAATAAAATAAATAAATAAAAATAAATAAACTTAGATTCGACTAAACAAGCTGATTGACTTTATGGACGAAATAACTTTATTGTACGTGTTAGGTGACTTATCTTCCAAGAGCCCAGTTAATGTGGCGTCCTGAGGTTTTTCCTTAGTTAATGACTGAAATAGATGATTCTTTGGATACTGTATTTACTGCAGTGCAGCAGTACATGTTCTGTCTCTGGATGTTACAGTGTGTGCAGCTCCTGTTGGATGTTTATCTATTTTATGTAGAGTATAGCTGAGACCTGTGTGTCCTATTCTGAGTCGAGTGATGACATTTTCTACTTTCCTATTCCATTTTGTTGTCCTTCCTGACCCAGCGTGTTTTTGTATGCTGTGTAAATGTCTTCCTGTTTCCTGTAGATCCCAGTGCTCTTGCCATCCTGTTTGTGTATATTTCTTGATGAATGGTTTGATTTCTGATTTGCAAAGTGGGACTTGTAGTTCTATGGACTTTCTCTTGATTGCTTGTTTAGCCAGCGTGTCTGCCATTTCATTTTCCTCCACATTGACATGTGCTGGAACCCGAAGGAATTGTATTTTTGTGCCTTTAATTTCTATTTTATACATTGTAATAAAAATTTCATTGATGATATCTTTCCGGATTGATTTGCCTGTTGCAATACTATTGAGTGATGAAATGCTGTCAGATGCAATAACAATGCTTCATTCTCCTCTATCCATTGCAACGCCAACAATATTGCTAAGAGTTCTGTTGAGTAAACTGATATAGGATCTGATGCTCTCGTTTTTATACAGATGTCCATGGCTGGGATGTAAACTGCTGGACCTGCCCTCCCTGTTTCAAGCTCCTTAGATCCATGTGTAAATAATCACTTGTTATTATTAATCTGTTCATATTGTTCAGCCGTGAATCTGTTTGTTCATGGCTCCTTTTCAGCATCTTCCTTTCCCCGTTGAAAGTTTCTGGGCATTCATGCACTCAGAACGCATAACTACACAGCATGCGTCTGTGCATGTTATGCAACGCGTAATTACGCACATGGGGAGCTGAGTGACAAGACGTTTTGGGCAAGCTTCCGCTTCATACGGTGTTCGAATGGACAACATCCGCTTGGCCTTTAACCCACGACAGCCATAAAGGGTGAAGCCTATATGAAATAGAACGTTGGTTACGTACTGTAACCCCAGATTCTATGAGTATAGGCGTAGCCCTTTAAGCGTCGGGCCTCACTGGCTCCTAAATGGCTGAAGAAAAAGCTGTTTGGGAGCCGATTACCCGCTCTTAAAATAATTTATACGGACCTGGTGGGGCCCACACAGCAGGTGGGCATGGACTAAATTTTTCAGTGCGACGCTTCGCATAACGGGATAAAACCCACCAGCGACAGCCTTAAAGGGCTACGCCTATATTCATCGAATCTGGGGTTACAGTACGTAACCAACGTTTTTTTAATCAGTGAAGATTAAAAATAAAGAAACGGTGTCGGCTTTATCGTGAAATCCTGTTTTCTCTTTGATTTTATTAAATAATCTGTTAATTAAAGTTAATTCAAATGAAAAATTATAAAAAGACAAAATTATTGAATCTCTCATATTTCCCTCCAACATGTTTAAAGAACAGACACAGCCTTTGGTTCAACATTATTCTAACTCACAGATGTACAAATCACAAAACAAGCATTACACTTTAAATTAAAGCTTCAAATCAAAGATAAACTTTAATTCAAAGCTAACTAAAAATAATCTCCATACAAGAAACAAAACCTTAATGAGTGCAAATACATCAAATGGTGAAGAAAAATATAGAATTTTAAATATAGATATCCTGATGCATGCTCAATAATCCAGGTAGAAAAATCTAAAAAAATAAGTCTGGTCCTCTGGACGTTCAAAAAACAAACAACAAAAAAAATGTAGAAACATTTCTTCTTTCTTCCAAAAGACTTCTTCAGTCTGAGGAGCTGTATTCAGCTCAGTCTTATATAAACAGCTATGAGCTGAATACAGCTCCTCAGACTGAAGACTTTCGGATGAAAGACGAAACGTTTCTACATTTTTCTTGTTTGTTTTGTTTTTTGAACATCCAGAGGACCAGACTTAACTTTTTTAGATTTAAATATAAATGTTTTTGTAGAATCTGGTTCATCAGATTTAATTC